CCTTGGGTGAAAATTTGAGATCGAGAACCGCTTACCCCTGTTGAGGAAGGGAGGAAAGATGGAAGATTCGAAGAAAACCCACCACAAGACTGTTGAACCCACCAGCCAGTCTCATTGTATCTAATACCTTCGCAATTTACGAGGATCCTCCTCATAACCATTACTTTCATAAGGTCTCTTTCGTGAGTCGTCTTCGCGTGGTCGTCCGCCATATCCTCCATCTCTAGGGCCATCTCTGGGTCCATCCCTATCACGGTATCCACTACCATCTCGGGGTCTTACCGGCTCCATATTACTGCCACTACCTCCACGAGGAGGACCTCCATCGCGATCACCATAGCCACGGTTGCTGTTGCCACGGTATCCGCCGGATCTGTCATCATATGAGCGGCCTCCACGAGATTCATACCCACCACTTGATCCTCCAGGACCATTTCGATCTGGTGATCCTGCACCAAAACCTCCACCCCCTCTTCCACCATAACCACCACCCCCGTTGAAGCCTCCACGACCGCCACCTCCTGGGCCAGCTGGTGCGTTAGGAGGAGCATAGCCATTGGATCCTCCACCTCCATACCCACCACGATCACCTCTATCACCGAATCCTCCACGGCCTTGAAAGCCAATTCCTCCTCGTCCACCACCACCTCCTCCTCCAAATCCTCCTCGATCGAAACCTCCTCTAAATCCACCACGACCTCTGCCTCCATCAAATCCACCTCGGAAGCCACCTCGGAAACCGCCAGGGCCTCCAGGAGAACCGTTGAATCCACCTGGACCCATTGGTCGTGAAGAAGCGGACTTTGTATATCCACGACCTCCAAGGCCACCTCCAAGACGACGTGGTAACCAACCTTTTACGGTTCGACCTCTTTCGACATCTACCTTGATTCGACGATCTTTAATTCTGATACCGTCACAGTTTTCTAAACCAGCTATTCACGAAGCGCGAGCAAGGCGCGTTTGTCAGTCATTTACCCATATTCATATACCTTGATCTGGGTAACAGGAAGAAAGGAAAAGCGAAGACAAGAAGTGGGATAACCAAATCTTTATGCCAATTGTGCATTTGAACAATTTGTTTATGGGGAATATGGGGTTATGTTCGGCTTTACCTCTCATGTCCTTCTCTCGTTCGAAAACTACAAATGCGTAACCGCGATGCTTTTTGACCTTCTTTCCCGGCTTTTCATGTTGATGAGTATCAACAACTATGCGAATCTGTAAAACACAAAAGTTAATATAATGTACTCAGCAGAATAATTAGTAAAAGCTTACTCTCTCGATGGGTCCAAATCGACCAAACTCGCGCTCCAAGTCCTTTTCAGTGGCATCGTAGTCTAATCGACTGACAATAAGTGTTTTAAAAGCATCTCCTCGAATATTTGGATCCTCAGATGGTTTGACTACACAGGCAAAAACATTAGCAATGGTTCGAGAAATTCAAGAAGAATAAGAGGGTGATGAAATAGTGATATAGGACATAAAGGGTGGCCCTCACATAATTTTGGGGCTTCCTGAATAATCTTCTCGTGTGCGGCCTTCTTCTCCAGCTTAACACGGTCTTTTCTCTGAAGCCAGCTCTCGGTGGGCACGTAAACATCATTCTCCTTGTACTCCTGAAGAGCTGGGAGAAAGGCAGCAAGGCCAGTGATATTGGCGGTTTTGCGATCCTCTGGGGCAAAGTCTGAAGGCGGAACCCATCGCAAAGGGGGTCGAGGCGCGAAAAGCGCAAGGAGGTTTGGTGGGAGTTTATCGGTCATTGTGGGCTATTTACAATTCCCAAAGTCTTCGCAATGATGAATTTACAGTCTTTAAGACAACTGCAAAACAATTCTGCTGAACTGTATGATGAAGATAATTGTGAGGAACTGTGTCGCGTCGTTGTAGCCAGGACGCCTAATGGTAACCTGAGATTTGAGCTCCTAAGCTTAAAATACCATAGTCACGTGACTAAGAATTTATTTCACTTGAACCTCAATATGTCAAATGCTGTCTGAATTTCGAATTTATGTTTTGACGTCAGCACAACAGTCAAAATGAGGATTACAGGATTAAGGAAAACAACCATTGGCCAGGTATGCATATGATCAGTTCTTGCGGGCGATTGTAGATTGCTAACGTCTCATCCAGAATGGTGTCGGCGCCTTCATTCTCCAATGCACAAAAATGGATTTTCATTACTGTGATTGGGCTGGCAGTTCCAAGGGAATGAAGTAAGTAGTATTCTCGAACCTCGAAGTTGCTCCAATACTCATACTGCCACAGTACCTTCATCAAAAATTCCTTACCGGGCTTCGCAAAAGCCAATCCTCAAATCGAAATTACTGTCTCCCCTCGACCCGCCAAACACCCAGTCATTATTGGTCATTATATCAATGGTCGCGAGAAGGCCATTTGCGTCAGAAATCTAGAAATGGGACAAATATTAAAGAAGGCAGAGCTGCTCAGAGATGCGAGTGGAGAAAAGCTAAGGAGAGTCAAGAAGCCCGTGAAGAGTATCAACGAGAGTGTTAGAGGTATTTGGAGTCCTTATCATGGTGGTGGAATTAAGGTTTGAGGGGGGGAATATAAAGAAGATTGTTGTATTATACATAACAGCATTACTGGCGTTAAGGATAGGAAATTATGGGTTCCGATAGTCCTATGTCGAAGATCTCGACTGTATGAATGTTATGGTTATGGTTATGAGTTGAGTAACTTGTTGAAGCTATACTTTTCTGCACATTATCGACATTTTTGTCGATGCTACCATTTGATCTACCTCGCCGTCTTTCCATTCAGTCATTTCGTGGGCTTCATTGTTACAATGTTTGGCAGTGAGTGTAAGTCCGGTTATGCCAGGAACTAGTGCCCCTAGAAATATACAAGACATTTATCATAAAAATGGACATCAAACCATTGAAGATTGGATCACCAGCATTTGATCTGAGTGAAAAACATGGGTGCTGCCCAAGAAATAAAGAGTGCAGTGCATGTAGGTAAGCCTGCTATAATAGACCTCGTCAAGCTACCTGCCAGATTCCATATCAAATATTCCGAAACCTTGTATAAATTCAAATCTTACTGTCACCTTTCACAGATCTATTGATGCATTAGAATTCTCACATATAACAAGCATGAGACTAGCAGCGGCTTCAAGGTAGTGGATATTTCCTGAAAACATATCATACTGCCAGGTCTTTTTTTTTATTGCCTGGTAGGGTTAAATACCCAATTTACAGTCGTAATTCATGAAATCCTAAAACCACTTACAAGTGGCTGTTGATAATATCAACGAAAGCTGGCTTCAACGAAGCACCTCCAACCAAGAAACCATCAATATCCTCTTGCTTGCTCAAATCTTTGCAGTTCTTCTCGCTAACACTTCCACCGTAGATGATTCTGGTCTCCTCTGCAGCCTTCTCGCTGACCTCCTTCTTCAACCAAGAACGAATAGCGGCGTGTACCTCTTGTGCTTGTTCGGTGGAAGCAACCTTTCCGGTACCAATAGCCCAGATTGGCTCATATGCAATGACGATCTTTGACCAGTCTTGAACCTTATCCTTAACAGCCTTCAATTGTGCAGTAACAACCTCGATTGTCTTGTTAGACTCTCTTTGCTCAAGGGTCTCTCCGCAGCAGAAAATAACACCGACTCCTCCATCAAGAGCAGCCTTGGTCTTGCATGCTACAAATGAATCATCTTCTTGGAGAATGACACGACGCTCAGAGTGTCCGAGAAGTGTCCAGGTAATGTTGCTGTCCTTGAGTTGCTCAACGGAAATTTCACCAGTGAAAGCTCCGTTTGGCTTATCGAAAACGTTTTGTGCTGCAACCTCAAGTCCAGGTCTCAAGTGCTCGCGGGTAAGGAGAAGGTAAAGAGCAGGTGGAGCAATGACAACCTCTAAATAAATAACGTGTTAGCAGAATTCCAAAATGAAATGTAGGAGCTTGATAGAGGGGTATGCAGGGTCAACAAATTCCCCTCCATCCTCAACAAACGGATGAACATAAGCCAAGGCAGATACATACCGGTATTTGGGTCCAACTTAGCATCGTTCAAGTTTCCAACAATCTTCTTAATGGAATCAACAGATCCATTCCTGATGAGAGCAAAAAATTAGCTGAAATCCTTTTGCTTGGTGGGGGGGAGAAAGTAAACAAAAGCTCTCACATCTTGAAGTTACCTCCGACGAAGAATTGACGAGGCATGATTGCTAGTTTTCTGGTAATACGAAAAATGGTTTAGAAGGGTTTGGGTATAAGTTGATTTTGGATGAAATTCAAAATGTCTTTTTGATATGATGGTTTTAATTGTAGAAGTTTTGTATGAATTGATATCAAACTTCTCTTGAATCGGTAGGACTCGGAGTGGGGTGAGCTCTCGGCGGGACCTGACTCTCTACAGAAATCTAAAACCCCGCCAGAAATCGTCATTGGACCCAAAAAATGTACGGAAACTTGCATGTATTATGTGTACCAGGCTCAATTTTCTCCCGTCGGTAGCCTCTACATCAAATCGAAAATGGTATTGAGACATTATTGTTGGATCAATGAAACAAATCAGCCATTCATCTTCTGCCATCTGTATCATTATGCCGCCATGGTTTCAAATACCTCTACGAAGTACATCAATCTACCGGTTCCAAAGCATCATGGAAACATTGACGACATCGGACCTCCTCTCGTCCACCAGGTCTTGAACATACAATTGCTATCAAGGTTGTTTGCTTCAAGTTCAATTGCAAGCTTGATAAAATGATCAAGCCTCAATGAAACAACGTTGCTTCAATAATTGGTCACCATGATATGATGGCCGAGATTGGCTTGATTCATCTCACCGAGACTGCCAATGAATTGACCTCTCGTGATGTTACAATGGACCGAAATGCATTGACTCGGGACCACTGATTGTACAGAATATTGGGCATCAATGTGCTCAACTCATCTCTCGGCATGGAACAATCAATCCAAAAATGCCATTCATATAAGAACTCAACTTCCTGCATGATTCCAAGGCTCACAATTAGCTCGCAGTCGGCTCACAATTAACGCATTTCACTTATACTTCATGTTGACAGAACGAGAAGATTCCAAAAATTAGGGAGTTCATTAAAATAACTTTTGATGCCACGTGTGTCTAGTACATAAGAGATGCACTTTATTATCATCGGTCGTCAAATCGTCCATTGTCCTTCTAGGCCAAAGACATCAAGTCCTGCTGCGCCGTTGGTCTTTCATTTACAATAAACCAACACCAATTTCCCAAGAGCAAATGATACACAGCAATTATCACTAACTCATCCATCACATCAATCTTCAAGACTGAAAACATCAATATAATAAAACAAGATCTCAAACTTTAAAGAAAGCAAGGTAAGGTTATCCAAAAGCATACAGCTGAAACAACAGGTCTCTCAACTATGCATGCGCACTATCACTGCTATAGCTGGAACTATACCGATGTCGTGGTGGACTTCTTGGGGTGAAGGGATGATGGCGAAATTGAGGGATTTGAGGGCGAAGACCTGTGAATGGAATTCTGGTTGTGGTTGAATCTCGATCAATGTAGCTCTCAGCGTCAGAAAAACGACGTCTATAAGCGGCCTCTCGCGGAACTGGTCTCACATTCCGGATAATAAGAGGTGGAGAATCATCCTCATATAGGTCATCAAGGTGTCTTTCATTGTATAGATCATCTCGATATCGAGGTGCGGGTCTTGAATATTGATGTTCTCTATATCGAGGAGCTTCTATCATTGGGAGTTCTGCATGTCGACGCGCAGGATATCTCGGCGCTATGGTATCATATTCAAGTTCGCGACGGCCGGCAGGTACCACAGCTCTCGATGGCTCATCAATAATGATTGGTCGATGCGACTGAGAAAGGTAATACTGAGCAGCAGCCCTTTCTTCTTCTCTACCCTGTTGAAATGCTTGTGCAATGGCATCGGGAGCGGAAAGTGGGACAGCTTCTCCGGTATAAGGAGATTCTGGATGACTGCCCCTTCGAAATTCTTGAAATATTGGCTCAGGTGACTCGCTTCTGTGGGCATAATATTTCTTATGGTGCTCCCGTGGACGACGTTTACTTTGGCTACGACCTCGTCTACCGCGTGAACTATACTTCTTTGAGCGCCCATCAGAATGAGAACTAATGCTAGTAACCAAAGAGCTACTGATGGTCGAAGCTCCAGTTGAGAACGTGTCGCTATCAGATTCGGATTCTGAATTCGATTCTGACTGATATCGCGTCGGTCTTTGTCTGCTTTTGCTTCTTGATCGACCACGGCTTCCACCCTTTTGGCCAGACGTATGTAGAATTCCTATAGGGGCTTGAGGTTGCCCATTCGGATTGGGCGGGGCGTTTTGTGGTCTGAGCTGAGGTTGACATTGAGGTTGAGATTGGCCTTGGGGTTGGGGTTGGGGTTGAAATTGAGGATGAGGATGAGGATGAGGTTGAGGATGAGGTTGATTTTGGGGTTGGGGTTGGGGTTGAGGTTGAGGTTGCGGTTGCATTGGAGGTCTAGTCAAGTGTGCTAATTTTTCTTGTTTTTGCCTGTCGATGATTGCGAAAAGCGCCGTGGCATTAACTTCATCTCTGGGCGAGCGTTTTACTATGACGGTGATCAAAACAGTTTCTCTCACTTTGCTGGAAGACCTCTCTCTTCTATCAAGCTGAACAAGGGACCAATCAAAGTGTTGATCCGATTCCTCAGTTTTCAACCGATCCAGAAGTTTGTTTACTTGGCCCTGCTGATTCGGATATAAAGCTCCTTTTTTATCTGTTATTGTTTGTGAGGAGTCCTTCAATTTCTTCAACTGTGCAACAATATCCTCTTGTGATAAAGCCTCTTCAGTTACCACAGCTTTTGCCCAGGTGGATTTCTCTTTTCCCGTCGGTACAACTTTTCTAATTGAAAAGACCGTGTATGTCGTCAACAACTTTCTGTACGCTGCATCGTCAAGTGGTCGTTTCTCCGAGGCGTTCAAATCCACTACGTGGGAAGATTCATATCGTGGTCGCATAGGCATTTGCATAGGCATTTGCGGCAGAGGCTGACCACGCCCGCCAGGTGGTGGACCACCCTGTCCTGGATGACCTTGATGAGCTGGATGACCTGGGGGAGGTCCCTGAAAGTTTGGATGAGGTCCTTGAAAATTAGGTTGCGGTCCTGGTCTACCTCCTCCTTGTGGATGAGGATGGGGTCCCGGAGCACCACGTCCCATTGCTCCTAGCTTTTGTGTTAACTATGACATTGCTTGACAAAATAAATGTATTGAAGAAGCTTACCAAGAGGTGGAGGCGGAGGGACACCGGGGTGTGGATGGCTCATTTCGACGACGCTGCAGTACTTGTCTTGTCGAAAATCGACGTGAGTCTTAGGATAAGGCTTTCTTAAAAGTATAGAATTATATCAAGAGTCGATGAATTAAGATTACGAGCTTTGAAAGGGAAAGCGGGCAACAGCGTGGCTATAACTAGAAGTTAAAGCTCGAGGTTTAAGCCTCAATTGCTTTGGGACACCGGAAAGCTAGGTATGTTGATAGCCAAGTGTGGCTTTATGAAGATCTTGAATTAAAAAAGAAGGTGCGAAGATTTACCTTATGTTTTCTCTAGGTTTAATTTTGGAATGGAGGGGTGGAATCAATAGGTAAGGTAGTGTTACACTAATGAACAGTCACCGAGTAGGAGTGCCACAAGACAGCGAAACAGTGCAAAGAATTCCTCATTCGATGACCACTTCGGGTTACTGGATGGATTGTATTATCAACAAGGTGTTTACCATATCTAACGCCCGGTTTAACTCTGTCATGCGATCAGGCTTTAGCTTACGAGCCTTTTCAAGGTCTATGCAGAAGGCTATGCTCGCCCTGTGTCTAGGGCTCTACAATCTATCGGGGCGAAATTGGTAGGCAGATTTCAAAGAATCTCAAACTTATCCCAAGGTAACACGGATCTATCAGTACGGCGCATCATGGAGTGTTACACCCGCAGATACACTCCATGCTTTACGCACGCTCATACACAAATCATACTCTCTTCAATGATTAGATTAGATATTCAAAATATTTCGTGCCATTTCCTATTCCTAACAAAATAAGATATCAGGATATCTACAACAGCAACAAATACACACCTAGTAAGTAACTGGAACTTTTTCCTATTCGAAATGTGGGGAACCAGTTTGACGAGGTTTTTTGCAAATCTAAACGAGGCAGGATGCGAACCATCTTGCGAACCTTTTGCCTTCAACTGTATGAACAAACCACAAGATACCACACGACAAATCGAGTCACTCGATGCTTATTTTCTGGTCGGGACCGCGGAGCTTCTCGGTGAAGGTACGGTCGAAGCGATAGGATAAGTTTATAAAACCTGCTTTGACTTGGCTACAGCAGAAGGGAAGTAAACTGGGCGTTGTTGAAAGGTCAATTGACGAATCATTACACTACTTACCGCGCAAACAGGCGATGTGTTGAAACTCATCCAGGGATACTCCATGATTTGAGCTTGAATTAAGCCATGCTTGAATAACAAAGGGTTGTTCTTGAGTCTCTGACCTCTTTTTGCAGATGCATATGCAGTCGCGTTTTGTATTGTCAAAGTCATGAAGTATGTAAAGGTATGTATGTTGTACAGGTAGCTTATATGCCACGATATCGCTGACCGCCTCAAAGTTTTAAGCATGATATTTAGCACAGCCTGCATGGCGCTCCGCCCCCATTTCGAAGGATCGTGGCGTTGTGAAGTATTCGTCAACAGTCATCCAGATGCAACGACGTGTTGTTCAGTGCAACACTGGATATGCACTATGAATCTCTAAAGGCTTTGACCGTTGAATACTCTGCAGGCAGACGCCATCAAAGCTGCGCTAAATCTCGGGTTCAAGTGCAAAAAGAAATGCGAATTTTCGTTTTCCCCTTGGATTATAAATGCACTTAATGCTGACAGCAGGGTGGTTTATGTGAAGCCATAATTACCCCGCATGTCTTCCTCAATGTTGAACCACTCACACCCCTCCCGAGATATCTCCTTGGCCAATCGATTCAACCACCATATGACCGGGTTCGATCCTGCTTGATTGATAGTGATTATAATGTTTTTCCAATTTACTCATCCCACCGCTTGCATACCGAGTTCTTAAATGCATAGCAAGCTCTGTGACTTTGTCTGTTCAAGCGTTGCACACATACATAGCACAGCGAGGAACAAGTCATCTCAAGTTGCACAAATGCATTGATCGACGTGAGAGAACCCAGATAAGATGACTTTAAAGGCATGTTCTTCAGGTCTCACGAGATAACGCATTGTTTATGTCAAATTCGAACACTTTTGAAAAGTGATGGATTTATGTATAGTCATTCAAATCATTCTTGATCTGCATTTACGAAATATCACATACATCTCGAGCACGCTGTTCCTTATTGGTATCAGACGAGTTAAATCTTCTAGCTGTTGATTGAGCCTCAAGGTTTCATCTCTATTTTCCATTTTTTTATTTTTCAAGGAGTCGGGCGCTGAATTTGGTAACACATTGTCCGTCCCTAAAGCTCTACTCACAGTGATGACGATGTCCAGTTGTACCTTTCCAATTGGAAGAGCCGATGTTACATGACCATAACTGGTAGCCAAATCATCTCCTCATGTTTCTGATTGTTTCACACCAAGCCACAATCTTCCAACCAAGTGGTTCAAATCATCAGCGCTTCCATCACTATCGCATGTTTCAACTACCGGTACCTAGGTATTTATCAGAAAACAATTAATAGTAGTATATTACATCTCTCTCCTCATCTTCATACTCTCCAATAATAATATAGCCCTTGTCCTCATAGAGAAGTTTCTCTCTACCATCTACCCCAAGGGAATACATTGATAACCTTAATGCGATTGGATAATCATATCATAGACTCATACTTGTAGTAACCGCATACATGTATATCGCCCCCCTGAATCCACAGTCTACAGTCCACAGTCCAAATAGTCGGTTCATACCTACATACATACAGTAAACTAGATACATTAACCTTCCCCGCGCTACATCGCAATCATATCCACAATCGAAATCAAAAGCTGAAGGAAGGAATACTAACGCATAGTCCATGCAATGACGGGTAGAAAGAACGATGCTTTTCCCATGTAGTAAGTGGAGATTTGTTGGGATGGCGTTTATGTTATGTTTTGTCTTGTATTGTATTGTATTGGTTTTTTTCTTTTTTCTTTTCTTATTTTCTTATTTTTGAATAAAAAAAATTAAAAAATTAAAAAAATTACACCGTCTCAGCAAGGTGAGCTGAAGTGAAGTGAGGTGAAGCTAGGAGAGTAGTCACACGGGATGGATCCCCCGATTTACATGCGTGAATCTTCCCGCGCTGAAGTGAATTTGAGATGGATGATATGATTTAGATGTGTGGTTGAGCGCGACAAGTTATCGAGGCGTTGTCTCGCTTCGAGTTTGGGAGATTGATATCTTATTGGTGGATGAGGGGAGAATGTGATTTCTGCTTGTGTTATACAGTATTGCTATAATGTATTGCGAGGCTGTGCGGCTGTGCGGCTTATACGAGTGGAGTGTTGATTTGTTAGAGTTGAGTACTTCTTGTATTCTATACTTTTCTTCATACTTTGCAGTATGGCATGGGAGATGTCAAAGTATGGCATCTCACAGGAGAGAAACTAGTGGATTCAAGGAGGTTTTGGTTGCATTCAGAAAGAAATAAAAGTCATTCTTGCTGTTTGTGGTAATTTAGGGAAGGAGAGTGGCTTGTTCTGTATTTATCATAGTCCAACTGTTTGAATCTCTCTCTCTCTCTCTCTCTCTCTCTCTCTCTCTCTCTCTCTCTTTACCCAACCTATTTAAATAAACCAACTTGACATCCCCACTTATTCGACAAAGTCAGTGTCAACCATTCCGTGAAGGGTTTTTGGTCTCTCGCTTCCATTCTCGAGAAGGTTTGCAAAAGACGGATCGTGGTATATGATGCTTCTATTCTCCTCGTCAGTTCTTCATCTCATCTGAAGATATGAAACAGAAAACGATCCCAAGCTCAAGCTACAGATTCGAGAAAATAACATACCCGTCAGTGCAAATTGCTGTCCAATACAGATACGTGGTCCTCCACTAAACGCGATATATTCCCAGCTTCACATCATAAGTTAGTGAGGTTTCGTATCAGTGAAAGTCGATATCAAGCTTCAATTACATACCCCGCTCTCAATTTCTCCCACCTCTCAGGTCGGAACTGGTCGGCATCTTCACCGTAGATATCCTTTCTTCGATGCAATCCGTAGGAACTGTATTGTACCAAAGTCCCCTTCTTAACCATGACTGGAGATGTTTCATCAAGTCCGCCACCTCGAGGAAGTAACGTGTCTCGTATTGCGACACGACTTGAAGTTGGGACGATGGGGTAGAGTCGCATTGCTTGGGTGTGTTAGTTCTCTTTCTGGAGATGGAGAGACAAGATAAATCAAGGGAACAAAAACTAACTCTCATTAATACACCATTTCAGATACTTCATATCCTTAATCTCCTCAAAAGTTGGAGCTCTCCCTTCTAGACCCAAAATCTCTTTTCTTAATTTCTCAAGGACTTTCTGTTCACGTGAAAGTATCATGAAGAGAAGGGTAAGTAAACTTGCAGTAGTATCACGTCCGGCGAGTAGAATGTTGAGTAACTCTGCTTGAATCTTGGAGGCACTGTAGCCGGATTTGGCGAGTTGCTCGAGAAAGATGTAGCGGTCTTGATCTGTGGATTCGGATTTTTGAGAAGGCGCAGAGATCTGAAGAGCGAGGGCTTTGTCTACGTAAGTGCGGACGTAGGAGTGGACACATTTTATAGAATCTTGGTATCTTTTGTTGGGGAAGAGAGTGGCTAGTTTACCCACTGATTATTGGTCAGTATCTTGTGTTCTTTTTGTGAAGCATGACGGGTAACAGGGGAGCGCTTAGAGATTTAGGTTTTGCTTACGACGAACTTGTTTGCCGGTTTGTTCGGCAAGCTGTAAAAGTTAGCACAATACTCTTGATAGATGCTAATAGAGCTCACAACTTACATAATCATAAGCTTCCGAGTATCTATGCCCAGGAGAATCAACCTTTGTTTCATCCAAGGTCTCTGTACTTTCCCCGAAAAGGAATTCCGTAGCTAAATCTCCAATATCAGTACATCACATCCCATCCTCTCATCATCCATTCCTCTCTCTACCCGAAAAATAAACTCACCCGAATCAATCGTCAACATAAAAAACAATTTTGACAAATCCACCGTGTTGCCATTCTCCGGGATCCTCTTGATCAATTTCTGAATATATCTCTCGAAAATATCCAAATCAGCAACCTGACTCCTCACAAAATTCGGCCGCAGCATCGCGCGAGAGTGTTCCCATTCCGTTCCATCCAAGGCGAAAATCCCCTTTCCAAAGATCGGCATCATAGCAGTTTTCCTCCGCAGTGGTAACTCGAAATCTTTAAATCCGGTAGCCAATACCGTTTTAATATTTTCCGCATCAATGGTATTGATGGCGTTCGTGCCGAGAAATACAAAGGAATAAGTGTATGCACCGAGTGTTTGAAAACGTTTCTGGCTCGTTTCGATAAATTTATTTTCTCGCGCCGCGAGAATATTGGAGACGAAGAGGTCGAATCCGTAGAAGGGATCTTTGTGGGGGTAGGAGGCGGGAGGGAGACAGTGGTTTTGTTTGGCGAACTTTCTTCGCTGGTTGGAGAGGAGGATTTTTTGGATGAGGGTGTAGAGGAGAAAGGCGGTGCTTAGGATGAGGAAGATGCTGGTTGTGAGGGATTTGCTGGGGGAAAAATGATCCATGATGGATGGATGATTGGTGTTCATATTGGTAGATTGTTTGGATGGTTGATGGACGATGTGTTACTTGAAGACTGATGCAGGAAAAGTGCAAGAGCGACCCGGACACGAACGCTAATTTCCCCGGAATAGATCTGCAAAAGGATTGCACAGTCGCCTTTAATCAATCATAGATAGACAAGACACAAACTTCTTGGCACTCAGATAGATGAAAACTATCTCATTCCAAACCACCTCACAAAGACGCTCAAGGAGAGAAACGTTTCAAGTATGTAGAAGAAGCAAAAGCACTACGTTAGCTCCAGCATTGTGTTGATGTGGGCGGTTCTTATACTTAGAAAACATTTTAGACTGACTAAGTCTTGTAAAGTGCTACCTGCCCCTCACAATTCACTCCACTATATACCGATCGGTCCTCAGTACAGTAATAGTCCTTGTGGAAGCCGGACCAATGAACCCACATATTTATCAATCAAACCAATTCAATCGAATTAGATGCATGCCCGATATCTCTTGTATCCAGTAGATTCTTTTATCTATTG